GGAGGAGGAGGAACTCCAGCACTCATAGCTCCTTTGTCTCCCATCAAGCACCAATTACCCTTCAATAGTAGTTAATTCTCCACACGTCAGACGTCTCTATCTCCTAAAGACCCTCAAAAATGCTCTGAAAAGTACAAAAAAAAGGTCCAGAGGAAAAAAAATTAAAGAATGCATGACAGTCCAACTTCGCCTTATCTAGGATTTAAGACATTACAAAAATGCAGCAAATTTACAGAGGCTGAAACGGGCTCTTCTGCACGTTGGGAATGTGCTTGAAGTCACATCCCCCTCACAAATAAGCCTGACACCACAAGGACTTGCAAAATGGTCTCTATATGCTCACCAGGATTGGATTTTAAACTGTAAACTGAAAAAAAAAAATTAAAAGAAAGCTATCTTATACTCAACGACTGCCTTATTTCCACTTATATAGAAAGCATAGGATTATTTTAGGGGAGGGTTTTTCTTATCAGTGGTGGCCTTGGTGGTAATATAACTCTGCTTTTTGGTCCTGAACCAACGAGTTTCCCCTTCATGTCTAAGCCTAATAAATGAGGTTAGATCATCTCCATTAAAGAATGTATTAGGCACCCAGTTACTGAACCTCATCACACCAGGCAGGTCTGTCTCTAGTAACCTGTCTCTCATCTGGTCTCCTGAAATCTCAGGCAATTTTTTGCCAGGTTTTCTTTCTACACTGATAAAACCATACTGTCAAAAACTGAAAAGCCCACTCACCTAAAGGCTCTGACCTCACCTGTGTCCCATGGAAACCCTCAACACAAAACGACCCCAAGAAAAGGCCAGGTGTACCTACCAGCAGGCCTGGCAGGGGCTGGAAAATGAAAAACAGTCCTGGTCAGAGAGAGCTCCAAGTGGTCCTGGGGTCCCAGGTGGTACTCATGGTGAGTGGTCACCAGAATTCCCCATGCCTGACATAGGATGGTCCTTGGCTGCTCCTTTGCTGTTCACAGTTCAGTAGGTACTGGGTACTCACAGCAGAGGGGAGCACAAACCAGGCGCTTCCTCCCTCCCTGGGTCACTCTCACCTCAGTACTCCAGTTCCCTAACAGCTTGCTCAGGAGGGCCCAAGGCTACTATGTGAGACAAAGGTGAAGGAAAAAGAAGGGGTGAGGAAATCCTGGTGTGAATACACCTCTTGGCCACCTCTCCTTTGTAACTCCCCCAGTCTGCAGGACAGACCCTGGACAAGAGGGCTCTGTGGCGGGAAGAGGCCTTCTCTCTACCCCTCACCTAGACCCTGAACCCACACCTGGGCTGGGACATAGACAGAGGACTCCAGGGACCACCGTTTTCCTTCTTCCCAGGTAGGGCTGCCCTTCTTTTCCTTCCTCCTCAGGGAGCTCTGTCCTGAAGCAATTTCAGAGTTTAAAAGAGATTAAATATCTTGGCAGGATGGTCCCAGGCAGCAAAGGACTCATTTTCTGCATTTCTGTCCATATATCAAAGTGGCAAAACCCCCAAGCAGTAGGCCCCGTGGTAGGTGAGAAAGGGTACACACACTGGCTGGCCACACCACACTGACGGGAGAGTTCCTTTTAAGGACGAATACCCCGGAATTTTGCTTATAGGTCCTGTTGTTCCTACAGCAGTTCAACCAACTGAACACCAAGAAGAAGTAAGTCTCTCTGTGTGTCTCTGTCTCACTGGGAAAATTAATTTTTTCCTTGGCAGATGGTTGAGTCACAAAGACAGAAGGATTCATAAAACTCACATGAACATCCTGTAAACATTTAAACACATGAAGATTAAGGAAGGCAACCATGACCTTGATTAAAGTTAAACTATTTTTTTAGGTCTACACCCAAAGCCCTGCAATTTGGAGGCTCATCTTCCCGCCTCTTTGGACAAGCTCAGCTCTCACTGGGATGTCCTGGGTACATGCAAGCTTGCACTGCTTGATTAATTTGTTTTCAAATGGGAAATAAAAGGCATCAGAAGAAAGCAACGGTTTGGAACACCTAAACACAAGAATCTTACTAGCTCTCTATTAAATTGGATGGACTGTACAACACAGAGAACGTCAACATAAAATCAATGGGCAGAAGTGATATAAAACACATCCATCGCACCTACTCTGTTTCAGCCCCTCCCTGCTTCCCAGCTAAATGTTATAAAACATCCCCACCAGAGATGTCAGGCCCAGGACTGGGAGCTTTTGCTATGGTTGAGAATTCTGACCTAAAGAGGCTAAATGATTTACTCAAGCTCACAAACAGATTGATGGGACCAGAGCCATGGTCCCTGCTGCTTCAGCCTGGAGCTCCAGCCCCAGTATCCCAACATCAAAGCTGTGCCCCCCTCCCTCCAGCCCCTACCACAATCAGTTTGTGAGATTAACACCGCCCTCCCACAGTGAAATTTTATGGCCCAAATCTGCTGCCACTGGGCTCAGCAGCAGCATCTCAGCACCTGCTTAAAGCCAGGCTTCTATGAGGCCAGTGCACTATGGAACTCCTGAGCCGGAGAGGTGATACGAAGCTTTAAACATCTGGAGGTGGAGAAATACAAGCGTCAGCTTCCATGCACGCTGGAGGTTTTGAAGATCTTCCCAGTCCTGTTTGTTATCTGGTGTAAATTTGCCCTTTTCTTACAATGCTTTTTATTGCTCTTGGCTAAGAATACTGGACAGGGACAGGAGACCTGACTTGTAGGCAGGCAGGCTGCTTTGCAGGGAGCTTGAACTTGATGTGCATGAAGCTGACAATTCCTTGAAGGCCCTGTCAACCATCCATCCGGTAAACACTTCCACTAACCGGAGTAAAACAGACCAAAGAGCCAGGAGCACAGAGCGGGACTCTCTGCACCTGCCTGGAAGCCACTGCTGACGTTATCGCTACAGGAGGAGTCTCTTTTTGAAGTTGTTTTCCAGCTGTTTAGCAGTTTGAATACTAATCCCCTTAACAAAACTGTCCCCATCTCCCCACCTCCCTTCTGCTCCCCTTAATCTCCTTCCCCCGAGGGCGGGGGGCGGGTGCTGGACACCGGTCACTCTAGGCAGCAGCACCTGGATTCGCACTGATTCCCTCTCTTGTCATTCCTCTTACCAACAGGAATTAGCATAAGGCATGAAGGGGAAACCGGGAGGAGAAAAGAAAGACCATTCTGATGGAAATAAGGGGCAAAGGAATAATCTGCCATCAACGAAAATGCTTATTTGTGTACGGTTTCCCAAGCAAAGCTCAGAAAAAGCCGATGTTGATTTTAGTGTACACAAAGAAACCTTAATCCTTTCAAGGCAACTAAAGCGCCCCAGAAAAGCAGCCCAGAAGAAAGGCACCCAGTCAGGGGGTGACTATTCACAACCAAATAGATGCCACAAATCACACTCTGTAAGTAAACACAAATAAGAATGTGGGAAACGGTGGGCTGGAAAAGGGAGCGCAGGGGCCGAAGCAGGAGGGCAGGGCAGAGGGGCCCCTCCGCATCCATCACTCCCCATCCGCCCTGAAGAGGGCCTTTCAGCCCGGGAAGGGCAGAGTGGCCGGAGTGCAGTCCCAGAGCCAACTCTCACTCCAGGGCTGAGCCCAGGGAGGGGAAACGCATTCCAAAGCTGTAGAGCAAACTGGCCAAAGAAAGACACAGTCACATGGCGCTGGAGGTCCTGGGAGGGGCTGAGGCCAGTTGTCGCTGAAACACAGAGGACCTCCTTTGGGTGACGTGGCCTCTCTCAGTCTCCTCCTCCTCCCACCCCACCCCTCCTTCACACAGATACACCACGGTCTACCAATCCTCTCTCCCATCAAAAGGAGCAGTGAACAATTATGCACTTTTACATGTGAGCACTGGATGCCGTGAACTGCACGCATCTTCTTTTATTGGGCTTTTAGCGTTATGGTTAACAAATTTATACGAACTTTCAGTCCATCAAAAAATATGATGAAATATAAAACCGGAATACTCCATTATGCAATAAAAATGATAAAATTCAATATGACAATAATTCTGGGAGTAACAGCAATCACATAGGCATAGACACCTCAAGGGAACTCTAAACATAATGTACTATTTAAAACTGCAGTTGGTTCCAATTCTAAAATAATCTGGGAGCTCAAAGTAACTGCACTTGAAAATGTGTCTTACTAACCAGCTAGCAAAAAATGCTAGCCCGAGCAACTATGGAATGCTGACGGGTTTCAAATTTCACTTTATGAAGGCCCGACCCTGCGCAGGCACTGCCAAGCCTGCTCCAGGTAACACAGAACAGAGCGAACGGGATTCCCACCGAGAGCACAGCTTCCTCAGCAATTATCCTGCAGGCACCTGTATCCGGTTCCACTCTCAATATGCTCTATACCTTTCAAATCCTACATCTTTGCAAAGCCCGTGATTAGACACTCCCTTAAATTTCATTATTTCCAACAACACTGCTACAAATGAAAACTGCCCAGAAACCTATTGGCAATGATTTAAGATAAGTTTTCCCTTAATGTACTGCTATATCATTAGCCTCTCTAACTCTATATTGCGGTTTGGAAGAAATTAATGGGATAGCACATATTTAAATTTGGTTCTCTTGCTCATTTATTAACTTTACAGAAAGCCCACAGCCGAGTAAGGCTTGCTTTACGACGATAAAACTGCGAGCACTAAACATCCACTGGTTATTAGTCTGCAGTACAAATCGGCTGTTGACAGCTCTCCGACTGCCGGGTAGTTGATAAGTAACAATGAAGTTAAGGCATTTTGAGAACTATTACTCTCCATTACCGCTTCCTACATCAAATTAAAGCCACAAAGATAGTAGTGATTTCTTAGTCAAATCGATTTAAATAAGGATTCAATGTATTCCCTAAAATAAACGGTTTTTAACGTATCACAAAAGAACACAGACTCTGTCTCAAGCAAAACCACAAAATATGAACCGTAGTTCCAGAACGCAAAAAAGACCGTTTCTTTTTCTTCTTTCTTCCCAGGCAATGACAGTGACACAAATATGAAAATACGTAATAAGCCACGGCTCAGAATTAGAGTCTTACCTTTGTTTACAATAACAGTATTGAAGAGTTTTTCAGAGCTGGCATCTGATGCCTGAAAAACAAGAAGGGTGAAAAAAAGTGTTATTATTGTCATTAATACTGTCGTCACCATCATCATCACTATTACCCTAAGTCAATTTACTGCATTTTAGAGAAGCCTACCAGGGAAAGCGGGAACTTCCCCCAATCCTCCATAAGGTGGTGCTAGTTGCCTGCCTGAGCGAGATCTGCAGTGCAGCTATTTGCTGGGGGGAAAAATCTGATTTCAAAAACGTTTCCTTATTAGACATATTATCTGTGTAAAACATATTTCTATGAGATGATACACAAAGCAATTCAGCTCATTCACGTAATTATTTTGCAATTTCACTGACAGATCATTATTTTGGAAATGGTCCTTTTTTCATATTTGCACACATGCCTATTTTTCAATTTTCTTTCACAAACCACAAATGCCTATTATTTAACACCAAGCTCTTCCTCACTAAAAAGTGTCGACAGGACTCCCAGAAATTAATTTTTAAATGTTCATCTGATGACCCTGAGATCCCTGTCCCTTAGAGTAACCAGGATGACCTTGGTATTGAAACCAAACCAAGCTGACCTGCCCCAGAACCTGACACTATACATGCCATCAGCATAGTTTCCTTTGCATTTTCTAGAGACCATGTCTGCTAATTATCACACTGGCTTGAGGAAACTGAAATAAGCCCATTTAAACAGCAAGAGTAGAGCCAATTTAAATCATACACTAATGTTCTCCAAAATAAACCTGAAGTCGGTTTGGAGAAAAAATAGTATAATGTTTTGGAAGCACTGAATATTTCTAAAACTTGAGAAATTAAGAAATGAAAAATTAAGCACGCTCACTAATTTGAAGATGTATCTACATTCAAAGTTACAATGGCTGTTACATTTATGATGTTTTGGCTACTCAATCCCTGTAAGAAATCACTTATCTTTCACACTTTCTAGAAATGCACGTTTCACAAAGCAAAGCATAGAACGCTGAATAAATAAAAAAGAAAGAAATGTAGAAAAGACAGGAAGGGGAGAACCGAAGTACAGCATATTCTGACTTTGGGGCTGGCTTTTAGAGACAAAGAAGATATTCTATTTAATTTTTCCATGTTACATTGACAAAGAAGAGATATTCCCGTGTACATCTGGGGACCATGTTCTAGTTCTCAAAGCAAGTGATATGGGAAGACATAAAATATTTTTATTATGACTATGTTTCCCTTTATTTTCATTCTAATCAGAAGATTAACAGTTCAAAAAAAAAGATAAATGTGCAAAACAAATGAGCTGCATCTATACATAAACAGCTTAAAATAAATCCTAGACAGTGTTTTCCTCTTCTTTTGCAGGAATAATAAAAAAAAAACAAAAAACACACACACCAAAGGCCTTCCTGACATCTGAAACAAAACTGTATATTATAGTACCTTTTAATAAAAATAAACTGCCAAAAAACTGTTGCATGGAGGGGGAAATAGATATGCGTTAGAGAGATTAAGAAGATTGAATTATAAAAGCAAAAATTATGGGAATAGTGTTGTTAAGCTGTAAAATTAAGTGTGATTTCTAGGAATGTGAGTATCCCAGGTAAAAACTTAAGAGTATTTCACCATTCTTCCATGAAAAAGTATCAAGATCTTGATTGTAACCGGAATGGCTATGTTAAATTCATGGCTTAAAAAAATAAACTCCAGCTGATATTTTTAAAGGTCTGTTAATTAAATAATTTTACCAGACTGAAATAGCCCTTGCAGATTCTGGAATTACTTATTCCAGTCTAACTGGTTTAAAGAAAACAGAAAAACAAATTACTGCACCCTAAGAGCAAAAAGCATGGGTAAGGAAAGGAAATGGATCCTGACTGGGTTTTTATTTGCACTTGGGGTGTGAGTGGGTATGTGATAGGGATGGAGCAGGACAGGGGCTCTAGTAGGTGAAGGTGAAAGGCCCTCTGGTTGCCTTTCACACCCTCCCCTTAGGGCTGCCACCTTTGTCAGCTCCACTGGGCTATATGCTTGCTGTCTTCTCAAGTAAGCCGTTAAGGGACCCTATCTCTGAAGCAAACTTAGATGTGATTGATTATGATGCCAACCACTAAGTTATGATGAAATAATTCTGACAGGATATTAGCTTTTTGAACCCTTTAATTTTCTGATGCATGTTACAAAGCCTGAAATGATGCCTCTTGCAACTGGGGGCGGTGGGAGTCTCAACAAGGCCACCACAGAAAAATACCCAAAAGTCAATGATTGCAATGGGGCTTTGGGTGATCATAAACTGATTATGGATCCCTTCTCTCTCCCATTCAGACGGTTAAAGCCGTGGCGGATGACGGCCCGGAAAGTCAGAAAGAGCTTCTTAGTCAAAGTCTAAAGCGGAAACTACAAGAAAATTCTTCGCGTTTTCTCCATAAACTTTCCAAATTCCACTCGCGCGTTTAAAGCATTTGTTCAAATTATTTGACTCCTTGGGTTTTTCCTTGGGTTTTAATCTTTGGGGCGTTTTCGTTTTCAGTTTTTTTGTTTTGGTTTTTTTTTTTTTTTAAATCTGCAATATCTTATATTACCCTGGACCATCTTCCTGGTTTTTTTTTTTTAAATCAGGAACGACAAATGGAAACGCGGTAGCCGAGAGGGAGCAGATGCGCGGAGCTCTTCTCCTCTGTCCTTTAACGCGGGGGGACATTTACAAGATGAAGACCTTTATTTAGATTTTGCTAGCCATTTCGATTTCATACCCCTCACTCGGTTTTGGAGGTTGAGGGCTTGAAGTGGCTACTAAAGGGTTTGGGAGGAAAAAAAAAAAAAAGCTTTTTAGGTTGCTTTTTATTTAGGGGGAGGTGCAGACTTGTATTTTAATACTAAAAAAATTACTAGACACCGTAGTTGTTTAAAGAAAAGTTAAATAAGTCAGACAGACTGGAGGAAGGAACGCGGAGAAGGAGGGAAACGAATAAAAGCAGAAGCAGGCGTCCCGCAGCCGCTGCGCTCCGCGGTCCGCCTCGATTTCCTTCGGCGAGGGCCCTGGGGACAGCCCTCCGCGGCCGCAGAAAGAGGGACTTTTCAACAAGAAAAGAGAAACCTCCTCGAAACTTAAGCGCGAGTTCTTCTCCCCAACTGCCGCCGATTCCGAGCCCAGATCCCCTTTCGCTTCCCC